ACAGTCTCTGTGAGAGTAAGGGGGAGATGTTTATGGCGGGGTGGGAGGTTGACGCAAATCGCCTGGCTGCTGAATACGCGGAGCCAGACACCAGGTCGATTAGAAGAGCACAGCAGGAAGCGCTGCACATCAGAGAAGCTTTGAAAACCAGTTTCATGACTGGCCAGGGTACCGTGTGACGCTTCTCTTGGTTTCTCCTTGATGAAAACCCACCCCCTTGGTTGACTAATTCCCTGTAAGCAACCCGTCCTCCCCGCTTCGATCACAGCTTGCTTGCAGAAGAAATAAAGTCACTATCGTTTAAAAACCATGTATTCTTTATTAATTGATTCTAAAAATAGGGAGATAACTCACAAGGTAGCCCGGGTGGGGTGTGGGAGGAGGGTAGGAGGGAAGGAAAAGGCCACTTCAAAACTTGTTGAATGACAGCCTTCTGTTGCCCGGAGCCTCCTGCCCCTGTGTTCTTGGGCGTCTGGGTGAGGAGGCTATGGAACTTGGGGAGAAAGGAGGGCGGTGAAACAGGTGCTGCAGTGGCAGTCTGTGATCCTGCTGCCGTTCCTGAACCTCCAACAGACGCTGGAGCATGTCCGTTTGATCCCGCAGTAGCCCCAGCACTGCATACTGCCTCCTTTGATCTTCCTGACACCACTTCTCATCTCGATCGTCCCTCCTGTCCTCATGTTCATTGGCCGCTTTCCTGTACTGTGCTACTGTGTCCCTGCACACATTCTGCTGAGCTCTGTCCATGCCGGACAACTGCATGAGCTCAGAGAACATTTCATCACGCGCGTGTTTTTTTCGCTGCCTTATCTGAGTTAGTCTTTGGGATGGAGGAGGGAGGCTTGAAACATTTGCAGGTGCAGGAGGAAAAAAAGGGAGTGAAGTATTTAAAAAGATACATTTTACAGAACAATGGCTATAGTCTTTCACAGTGAACACTATTCACATTACATAGCACATGTGACTTCGGTACAAGGTTGCATTTTGCATCTTATATTAAGTACCTGTGGCTTTGGTGTTAGAGATCTCACACGGGCAACAGAATTCCGCTTTAGGCTTCTGCAACCTTCATAACAACAACAGCAGCACCCTCCTTTCTCATACCAAGCAAAGCCTGTTGAGTTGGCCATTTAGTGCTGCGGTTTTAGTGTTAACGTGCAGCAGCAGAAACCAAACTAACCCCCCCCCCCACTCCAATTCTCTGGGATGATCGCTTTACCCCTCCCCCCACCGCATGGCTGGTATCAGGGAAGATCACTGCTAGCCAAACACGAACAGCTCAGCGCCAATGGGCTCCCACCCCGCTTGGCTAACTGCGGGTAGGATTTCTTTTCAGCCACAGACAAACAAACAGCCACCTCTGAATGTCCCCTTTATTAAATTCCCGTATTTCAACCAGGTTACCATGAATGATATCACTCTCCTGAGGATAACACAGAGAGATAAAGAACGGATGTTGCTTGAATGCCAGCAAACACCAGGACCATATTCTGCCAGGCTTTGTCACGCAATGATACCAGATTACTTGCTACTAGCATGGTGTGGTAAAGTGTCCTATCATGGAGGGCGGAATAAGGCTGCTCTCCCCAGAAACCTTCTGCAAAGGCTTTTAGAGTACCTCCAGGAGAACTTCATGGAGATGACCCTGGAGGATTTCCGCTCCATCCCCAGACACGTTAACAGACTTTTCCAGTAGCTGTACTGGCCACGAATGCATCCCAAGTCCTCAGGGCAAATTAATCATTAAAAAATGCTTGCTTTTATAACAACAGTTTTAGAAGGTACACTCACCAGAGGTCCCTTCTCCGGCTTGGTTAGGTTGGGAGGGTATTTCAGTATTTCAATGCATAAAAAGATCCTGGCTGTCGGGGAGAAAGGTGTGCTATGTGCTCTCCTCCTCCTCCTCTTTCCCGTCCGCAAAATCCTCAGGCATGGTGGAGAGTACCCCTCGTCGGAGTCCACAGACAGGGGTGGGGTAATGGTGGCGGCCCCCCCCTAGAATTGCATGCAGCTCAATGTAGAAGCAGCATGTCTGGGGCTCTGTCCCGGAGCGTCTGTTTGATTCTTTGGTTTTCTGGTACGCTTGTCTGAGCTCCTTAAGTTTCACGCGGTGCTGTGTTGCGTCCCTGCTGTAGTCTCTATCCCTCATGGCCTCTGAGATTTTTTGAAATGTTTTGGCATTTTGTCTTTTGGAACGTAGTTCTGATAGCACAGATTCCTCTCCCCACACAGCGATCAGATCCAGTACCTCCCGTTCAGTCCATGCTGGAGCTCTTCTTCGATTCTGGGACTGCATGGTCACCTGTGCTGATGAGCTCTGCATGGTCACCTGTGCTGATGAGCTCGCCTGACCAAACAGGAAATGAGATTCAAAAGTTCCTGGGGCTTTTCCTGTACACCTGGCCAGTGTATCCAAGTTCAGAGTGGCTTCATTGTGTGGACGGGTGCAGGGTTAATTCGATTTAACGCTGCTAAATTCGACATAAACTTGTAGTGTAGACCAGGCCTTAATCTCCAAGCTGCCACAAGTACTCCTCGGTTTTTTTGCTGATACAGACTAACACGGCTACCACTCTGAAACCAAAAAGATTTAGACAGACTTGCCAAATCTCATCTCTCACATGACACTTACAAATCTCCCTTGGATGTCAAGCTGCATAGCAGCTGTAATATCATGCACAGCTGCAGGAGAGCAAGACAACATAGGAAACGCTGCTAGCCCTTTTGGGTTGTTAGGAGTAAGAGTAGCAGCTTCTCCCCCCATGCTGCGCATACACAGCGTGTCCCTCCTCCCTTCCCTCCTAAAAGGGAGGAGGGACACTTCTGCTTCTTCTCACAGCCTAGGCCTTGCTAACCATGACTGAGCCTCCGGAATCTCCAGCTGCACGTCAGCTTCGGTCTGAAGCTCCACCACCATGCTTCACATCCCCTAATCCTCACCTTGATACAGTTAAGGATAAAGACCCAGCAAACAAGTAAATAAGTAGCCCCTGAAAGCTAAGTCTGGCATAGACTGATCCATCTACCAGGGAAATAATGCTGCTGCTGCCTCCTCCTCTCTCCTGTCTCTGTTCTATTCACTAAGCTGCAGCCAAACGCTACCTTCCTTGTCTGTCATGCTGAATGTATCACACTGGTTCCAGATCTCAGCTACCACCATTTATTTCCTTCTGAACCCTCAGGAAGGTTAAACTTCCTCACACTCTACATGGAGCAATCTGTGCTTTCACCTTGGCTCGTTCCACACACATTCTAGTTAGTTTACTTATTTTAATTAAAATGCACTTTTAAATTTTTGCATTTCTCATGCAGCTCTCTATAGCGGCAATAGCCTCCCTCCTCCATTACTCCCAGTGATCTCACTCCTCTCCTTCAAATCCCTGCTACAAAGTTTTTTTTTATATCATTCGACCAGTAACTCACCCTTGTTCTTGCTTCATCTCATGTCCCTTTAACTTAGCCTTCCAACACACTGCATGCCCACTCAACTGCATCACCACTTCACTTATACTAGACTGCATGCTTTATGTTTCTGAAATACCCAGCACACCAATGCTGCTATTACGATTAAATAAGGAGCCTGAACAATTTAAATTCTCTAACCTTAAACTTCTTCTGTTTTATCATCTCCTCTGTCTCTGATCTTTTGTTGTCAGTACATGTTGCCCCTGGCCCCATGTCCTGGGTGCCCCCCCCCCAAAATACCATTCTTCTGTTCTACTTAATTTGCATTGTTTTCCCCCGATCCCTGTTCTATTCTGGCCTCTAATACATCTTTTCCCTATTACTTCCCTACCACCAAGTGCCCAGTCTCTTCCTCTCCCCCTCCCTCCCTAATCACTTTGGGTCTTCCAAATTCCTTCCATACCTCCCTCTTTCCACAAGGTCCCCAATCTTTTCACTGCTATTCCTTTCCTGTTCCGTCTATAAGTTCCTATCTTTCTTCCCTTCCCACCACCCTGAGGCTGAAATCAGGTGATAACTTAAATCCATTAAATGTTGCACTCCATTCCAGAAAGGAAAAATTCCTAGAAATATGAAGGGAAACTTTTCACAGGGGAAAAAAATCTCAGTATGGGACATTCTCTCAGAACAAAAGAGGAAGCATGCAATCTCCTTAATGGAGATAGGCACCTTCCCCATTTTCTCTCTAGGTGCTGGCCCTTCCATGTCTAGAAAAACTAGCTAACATCACATACATATGCACCTGCATCCTCACCCACAAACATGCTCCATTCTCTACACACACACCAGTCTATGGATACATCTACACTGCAACAAAAGACTTGTGCAGCTGGCCCCCTTCAGCTGACTGAAGCTCATGTGCCTGAGGCTGCAGGGGTATAAAATTGCAGTGTAGACATTCGGGCACATGCTGGAGACCAGGCACTGAGACCATGCGAGGTGGTGGGTCGCAGAGCCCAGGCTCCGAATGTCTACACTTCCATTTTATAACCCTGTAGTCTGAGCCTGAGTTAGCTGAAGAAGGGAGGGGAAGAAGGAGAGTTCTAACGTGTGAAGAAGTATTGTGGCTATGACTTTTTTTTTTTTTTGGGGGGGGGGGGGGGAATCTTTAAACAAATATAAAATTCTGGGCACAACTGCCACGCTTTAAATTCATCCCAAGTGTCTTTTCAGTATCACTTTCTATTCTGCTGAAAAGCATGGAGGTCAGCATGAACGGGTTCCGTTTCTAAACACCATGATAGTTTTTCTAAGGACATAAAAAGTTATTCCTGCTCCTTACTATTTAGTGTTGTCTTAACTTAGCTGCATTACAATGCCTAGGAAGTTAATACATAATCACCATTCAACATCTGTTTTTCTTCAGTCTCTATTGCATTCTCGGATTAAAACAGGAATATGCTGAATAATAAACTCCTAACTGACCATAGACTTAAAAAAATTCTTTAATATAGCTTGTTACTGATTATGCAGTGAAGGGTTTGATAGTTTTACAGCTTTGTATTATATACAGATTATACAAGAGGCACATGAGAACTACTTAAATCACAATTTTATTTTTCAAATTCAAAAACAATTAACTGTATTTAACATGTTACATCAACAGATTTAAAATATCATGCTCTATTTAAATATTTGACTGACAACAATGTATACAAATAAAACGTTACACAAATATATTTAAGAAAACATTTTGGTCTTCAATCTGAACAATAAATAGACAGGCACTCCTATATATACAAAGAAGGGGTCATTACTTAGAACAAATTCTCATATAAGCAACATGTGGAAATATGGCAAGAAAAGATTTCTAGAGTTTTGGGAAACATGCTGTATGACACATCATGCAATTTCCAAATCTCACTTTCAAAACTTGAAACGTTTAAGATGTATATTGTTCTGAGTTTATCATCATCAGTTTATAGAGGAGATCCAAACCAAGCTTTCCTGAGTGATGTGCAATTTCAGACTTCAGTTATCCATATCAAATCAAGCTACCTGATGATTGTTTTTAACACCAAAACAGAAAACAAGGACTGGCCAGAGCAGCCTTTTCTGTAAATAAAATGAGTGACAGAAGAACTTTGATTTATAAAGCTTAACTGAAATTCAAGACAAAAATCTGCCTATTAGCAAAGTCCAACATAAAACCTATCCTCTTCCTTACATGTCCAGCTCTTAAATTTTATCCCATTTGAAATTATATTGTGATTTTATAAGATATAAAGTATCATTACATAAAAGGTAGAGATTTAGTATCCTTTCAGATACAGGCAGACACATTTTGCACAGCAGATCACATTTAAATGAGAGAATACTGTTCAGAAGTAGCATATGATAGAGGAAGAGTTACAAAATCAAAACACCTTTCAATAATTAGTGTAATTTTTTAAAGTTATTATTTTTTTTTATTTTTTTTTTACTTTGTGTAAAAATTAGACTTCCCCAATTTCTGAATTTTTACGTTACAAATGCTATTTCAAACAGACAAGTTTTCTCAGGAAAAAAAGTCTGTGTTTACAGCTTCTACCACCACAATTAAAATAAGATGCACTAGCAATGAAAAGTGGGCAATCCATGCTTTCAACATTATGGTGATAGCTAACCATGAATCAATGAAGAATTTTTTGTTATAACTTCTGAAGTCTATTTTAAAATTTGTAGATGAAATATTGAAACATAATAACTGCTAAGACAGTGGAAAGATTAGGACTAAATCTTCATGCCACACTCAAAAATTTGTTATTCTAGTATTATTTTTACTTTTAGAAGTACTGAACAAATGTTTCTAGCTAATGATTTTTAAGAGAAGTAACTTTAAAAACCATTAAGTGAGAACAAAGAGGAGTTTTAATGATTCAATGAAGAAATTAGACCCAATCTTGGAAAATAAATTGAAGACACTTACGCATGTTACTTTAAACATTTAACAATTTAAGTGTGGATCCTGCAAGCGTGTCCAAATCTTAATCATTTCTTGAGGTTTTCTGCTATGTACTAACATTAAGTTTGTGTAGGAACATATGTTATTCCTGTGTTTCTCTTCAATATCAAATGTTTTGAAGCCTTTGTGTTTTTCCGGAGCAAGCCCAAGTTTCTGAAGGCACATTCCAGTATAAACGTCATCAATAGGATAGAGGAGGACCTGGTCAGATGCATTGTTCAGTCTTAATGCCAGATCACCAGAGTACAGAAACCCACCACCTCCTGCATATGGAGGATAAGAACCTTCAAAAACACTTTCTGGAATGTAGTACTTTAATTTTTTTTCTCGATGAGGTCCAGCATCTTTGATCACATCACCTATAAATAAGTCTTTTGCTTTGTCCTTTGATAAATTCTTCAAGTAATCCAGGATCTGGTGGGTATTCACAAAAACATCATCATCCCCCTTAAAAATAAACTGGGCCTCTGGACACGTGCTGCTGACCCATTTAAGAAACAGCACCTCTTTCAGAGTCAAGTTGAAGAAAGTGTCTCTGTAGTTCCAAAGAAGAATGTCTTGGTGGGTTTGACTCTCAAATTTCAGCATGTCTGAAAGGTCAGGAAAGTTATCTTCTGGAGGGGTCTGTCCCAACAAAAAGACCCTTACAACTGTTACATCCCCTGATTGTATTTCTTTACCCCAAGATTCCCTAATTGCTTGCCTTCTATCAAAATGTGGTATAAGTGACTTGATAGCCAGTAGCAGGAAAGGTTTGTGTTTGCACTTTTTTGGTTGATCCACTAATAATGAATAATTTCTACATCTTAAATAAAGCAGGAAGTCTTTAAATCTGTCTGGCAACGTTGCAAAGTCATTAACCTCTGATGTTACTGATGGATCAGGGTCACAGGAATTCAGAACACTAGTATTAGAAATTAAGGTTTCTTCCACAGTCATATTGGAAAGCAAGGTCAAAATGGGGTTGTACAAGAATTCCAGCTTCTGTTGCTGTTTGTTCCAATAGGCCTTGTGAGGAGTGTATTTCCTCCAGAACTTGCTGCTGGGTATTATAACCTGTCCTTTTGTATTCTTCTCTTGACCACCACTTTTGGAGACTTCCACAATCACATAAATAAAAAAGTTTACCATCATCAGAATTCCCAGCAGCCTTAGTCTTCTGCGTCCAACACTCATTTCTCATATCTGAAAAGAAAAATGATGGTTAGATTTTATTCAATCTTTTTCAAACAGGTTTCTAATTTCATAGGAATACAAGAGTTTTTTTTGACCACTTCTAAACCTCACAGTGTACAAAAGTCAGCAAGCCAAGAGTTGACATTTACATACTGAAAATGAAAAATGAATTGGTCACCCTCTAATATACAAGCTCTCTCTTGCAGCTATAGGGGTTTTGGTTCCATTAGAAAGGAAAAGTTTGTCAATCAAGAGAACAAGCAACGATGGAAAGTTTTGCTTGAATTTCTAAAGCAGAATAAAGCATTTGACCATACATCTAAATTATTAGCAAGTGATCTCTTTCCAAAAGGTTTACATGAGATAAAATGTTTGACTATACAATAATCAAGGCTTGAGTGCTCATTTGCCCTCAGCAGTTGGTAAGCTTTTCCTTGGTAATAAAGTGAGCCTAAGGCTGGGTTGGGTTGAGAGAATAAGGTTGGGTGGGGGTGGGGTTGTGACAACCCCTTATGGTTGTGACATCCTTCCAAATGTGAACCGCTACAGTACTCAGTTTTTGAGTCTACAGTTTGTCACTCCCCCTAGCTTTCCCAAGCAGAAGCCAAGTGAAATTGACAAGCTTGGCCAGTTTCAAAGCTGCTATTCACCTCTATGTAGGCAGCAGTGAATCTTTTTTATAATTCTGAACTTCATTCTCCTGCTGGGGAAGAAAATGAGTTGTACCAGAAGGTAACACTAAAGTAATCTGTAGGAGAGGACTACCAAAAAGAATAGAGGGGGGAGGGGCAGGGGTATAGGAAGCCACTTTCTTAGTGCGGCAACCAAAAGGGTAGGGAAAGTAGCTAAGACCCTCCTCAACCCCCTTGCCGGGAGGATTTACTACTCTTCTCCAGCACACACACACACTCTCCCAGGAAGCTCTTGAGAAGAAGAGAAATTGATCCCTCTTCCTTCTAGCAGCTAGACAACAAGGGGAATGAAAGCTTTGAGTTTATCAGACACGAGAGGCTGAGATGAAGGATGAGAGGTATCCATAAGGCTGGTTGGAATTCCTATGACTTCCCTATGCTGTAAGCTGAGCTTCTCATCAGGATGTTGTCCCCAAACTCACTAGTACTCCCTCCTTTCCCTCAAACATATCTTTTATACTAGCCTCTGATAAATTGTAAGAGCCCTGTGGATTCTATAAGTGAACGCAAACTAACTTCAAGTTTTTTTCTATAGTCCTATAAAAAAATTAAATAAAAAATGAACAATTTACATTATAAACCTTGCAGCAACAGCTTGTCAACTCTTAAGGACTTGTGTAATATACACAAACACACACACACCCAACAATACCCACATTATGCAAACTACATGAAAATTCTAAAGAGATACCAATATAAGTGGGACATTACCCAAAACATAAGACCATATCAAACTATACATCACAAATTTTTAGAAAACTAGTGTTTCTCATTTTCTAAAGAACTAACAAGACACCCAAGCTAACAGCAGCCAATGTAACAGGGGAGAGAGACCTGCCATGGCCCTTCCTATCCTCCTCCCCACAGGGACCAGAGTCAGACAAAAGAAGCTATAGAACAGACCTTATCGAGGTTGTCAAGAGGATTTTTTTTCCTCTTTCTTAAAGACACAGTACTTACTAAATAGTTTTCTTTCCTCCCCTGGCAGGAGTCTTAAAACAATAGTCTAGCATCACATAATATTGTTTCCAAGCATATACTTTCATCTATCATATGATATCTAATTTTCTCCTCCCATTACTATCTTCTTCTTGCTGTGTCTGATAGTACATCAAATTAAACAAGTAACACAAAATACCAGTTAATAGATTACATCAAGGATTCCAAACTTCATTGCACCGCAACCCCCCTTCTCACAACAAAAATTACTACATGACCCTAGGAAGGGGAACCGAAGCCTGAGCCTGCTTGAGCCCCGCCACCGCAGGCAGGGGGGCCAAAGCCCCACCAGCCTGGGCGAAAAAGCCAAAGCTGAAACCCCAGGGCTTCATCCTCGGGGGTGGAGGGCTGTAACCTGAGCCCTGTCCAAGCCTGAAACCAAAGCCCCAGGCAGTGGGACTTGTACTTCTGCTTCGGCCTTGGGAGGCAGGATGAGGGCTTCAGCCCTTGGCCCCAGCCAGTCTAATGTCAGCCCAGGAGACTCCATTAAAATGAGGTCGTGACCCACTTTGGAGTCCCGACCCACGTTTGAGAACCGCTGGATTACATTGATGCATACAAAATTCAAGAGAGATTAGGTATAAAAAAACAACAACAACAAAAACTGTGCTTGACACCACTGAGGACAAATAATTTATTCTCCAATATGGCCTGGGGAGTTGTAGCACAAGTTACCACTAATATAGTAACTGTCTGGGACTCAAAGATCGACAATATGGAAACCAAAACAGACACATTAGAAATAAATGAGTACCAAAAGGAAGTGCAAGAATGTGTTTCAGAGATGAAAGGGTAACTACATTTTGGATAACTAAATCAGACATAGCTGAAAAACTGGAAGACTAAGAACCAAATTAGAAGGAAAAAACATCTAAAAGTGGGTGGTAAGCAACTTATATTCTCCTTTGAACAGTGCATTCTTGCTGCACATAAAATGTAAGTGAAAAATGATAGGATTAAAATAGGACAAGCACAGAAAGTCAAACCACTCTTGGAAACAAAGGGAAAGCTCAGAGCATTTACCAGTCAACAACCAAACCTGCCCACCATAATAGTTTTCAGGGCTGGGCCTGTGCAACTTTAATTCGACCCCTTGTGTACATAAATTACGATACAGTCTTGAATTATATTACTGAATATTACTTTAACGTGGCTTGCATAGTCACTGCAGACTGCCGGGAGAGAGCTCTCCAGCGCTCTAAAAAAAACCACCCCCACAAAAAGGATAGTTCCCAGTGCTGGTGCACTGTTTACACTGGCGCTTTACAGCGCTGAAGCTTGCTGCACTCAGGGGTGTGTTTTTTCACACCCCTGAGCAAGAAAGTTGCAGCGCTTTAAATTGCCAGTGTAGACAAGTCCTGTGAGTGGTCAGCACTTCTGAATCAGAATCTATGGTCTCAAGCTGGACATCCAGAAAGTGAGGCACACACAACTGGCGACCACATGTAAAATGTCTGGTTTAAAGTGACTTGCCCCGTGCCACACAAGAACTCTATGGCAGAAGCAGGGATAGAATCCCAACTTCCAGGGTGGCATTTCACTCCCTTAACTATGAGACCATCCTTTTACTTCCTGCAATCTTTTCCCTCATTCATTACATACCTTTCAACTTCTTAAAAAAATAAGACAGGGATCCTAAAGCCAGGCTCCGTCACTACCAGAGGTGGTTGAAAATTTTCTGATGGAAGTTTTCCACTGGAAACACTGACTAGACAGAACCTAAATGACCCATGGGAATGTGCTGATTCTGTTGAAAGTTTCAATACGAACCAGGCAGCTCCCCACCCTCCCAGCAGTCCACACAGCAGACTTTCAAGGCTTCCCAGACTGCCCACCTGACAAGCTCCCCAGTGAACGGGATGCCAGGTTACTCAACGTTCCAAGCTGTCTGGCTTCCTACGTTCCCCAGGAAGCAAGGCAACCACATCCCAAGGTGGCTGGCTCCCCAGATTGCCTGGCTCTTCAGCCAGCTTGCCAGGGAGGCGGGTGGTTAGCTGGTCTAGACATTTTTTTAAAAATTCTGTTTTTTCTGAAACTGAATTTTTCAAAAAAGTTTCTGTTCTGTAGAAAATTTCTCATTTCTGACATTTCATTCTAAATCAGACTCAAAACGATTTAATAAAAGTGAAGTTTTCCATGGGATGGAAATTCCAGTTCCTGCACAGCTCTATTCACTACACAACCGTGATTCATCTCTAGAGCAGGTCCATCCTGTGCACTGATTGAGGTAGGGGTCCTGTTGAAAAAAATAGTACGCCATCATGTAATTAAAGACTTTATCATAATATCTATGAACAGGAGGAGTGAATTAAAGTTACACAGGCAACCTTAATTCTGGTATTCCCTAACTTAAGTGCTTGCGTGTTTTCCGTCGCAATCATAATGTTCTTTTCATGTAATTTTTTGGTATTTAATTTCCTAGGATTTTAATAAAGTAAATTGTTTAAACAGATTCCATCACGTAGCATCACATAAACACACACACCCCCATTGTTCATCAGCAGAGTTGGAACCTCTAGAACTGCCGCCACAGACCTTGGCCACCTGAGCTAAGAGAGTAACTGATAGCAAGAACAGATTGCCATCCTCTATGTAGACCAGCACTAGAGGGAGATGGCACACTTTGTCAGTGGGTTTTACAGATATTTGCTGACAGCAGATAAATGGTGAAACTCAGCTCAGAAAGGAAGTGTGCTTTATTAAGCATGTGTGAACTACAATTTTTTCCCCCAAAGTCGTATCTTGGTCAAAAAATGATGGATTTTCACAGGAACAGCAAAAGGTACATCCTTGACACAATGTCCCTGCTTCAAAGCAGAGCTAGAGCTTCTCAAAAAAAAGGTCACCAGAATTTTAGCATTGCAAAACAACGTATTTTCCCCTAGCCTCGTTCTTGGAAATGGCCAAAACATTTTGGCTGACACTTTCCAAAAACAGTCAACCTGAGGTAGACACCAAACATGGATAATGTCAGCCCAACTGGTTAAAGTCTGGCAACATGATAAGCAACTGAAAAAGGGTCTTATAATGGGAAATGTTGGTTAATCTTAATAGTCAGTATTGCTGGTCCCATCTATATTCACATCAGCAAATTTCATAAGAACTGCCAGACTGGGTCAGATCAATGGTCCATCTAGCCCAGTATCCTATCTCTGACTGTGGCTAGTACAAGAGTGAGAGAAAAATCGTACAGGACAGGGCAATTTTGGAGAGATCCACCTGTGTCTTCCACTCCTGGCTTTTAGCAGTCAGAGGTTATGGGGTGCCCCAAGCCTGGGATTGCATCCCTGACCATCTTGGCTAATAGTCATTGTTGGG